TTTGGGCCGCTGGCCAATTTTACACTCCTATTAATGTGAATGTTAACATGTCAATGTGAATATTCACATTGTCAACGGGCCGGGCCGGGCCCGCCCTAGGCCGTGGGCGAGCTTTTGACTGCCCATGGGCCGCGGGTCAATTTTATACTCTTATCAATATGAATGTTAAAATGTCAATGTGAATATTCACATTGTCAACGAGCTGGACCGGGCCCGTTCTTTCCCCCCCATGGGCCGCGAGCGGGTTTCGCGCCGCCACGGGACGGGGGCCAATTTTACACTCCTATTAATGTGAATGTTAACATGTCAATGTGAATATTCACATTGTCAACGGGTCGGGCCGAGTCGAGCCCGCCCTGGGCTGTTGTCTAGTTTTATACTCTTATTAATGTGAATGTTAATATGTCAATGTGAACATTCACATTGTCAACAGGCCAGGCCGGGCTCCGCCCACGGGCCGTGGGCGGGTTTTGGGCAGCTATGAGGCGCGGTTGTTGATGTTATTGTGGGGGATAAGAGAGTTGTGGAGGTTGATGATGGTAATTCTTGTAGGATTGATTCTGTAAGTTGTGAGAGTTCTTTTGTGAATGATTGTGATGATGTTGGTGGTTTGTTGCGTAGTTTTTATCCAGAACCAGAGAGAGTTTTGTTGTCTGCTAGTTGGAAGGGGATTATACATAGTGTTGGTCAAGAATTTGAAGGTGGAGTGTCGGGGTTCCGCATTGCATTGGCTAAGTATGCGGTTCAGTGTGGTTTTGCAGTGAATTATTTGAAGAATGATGCAACAAGAGTAACCGCTGAATGTATGATGAAGTCGTCTACGGGTTGTAAATGGTTTGTGCATGGAAGGGTGTTGATGGATTCTGGTGTTTTTTTTATAATGAAGTTGGATAATGTGCATACTTGTGGGATTGTTGCTTGTAGATCTTGTAGCAAAATGGTTGGTTCTAGACTTGTGTATGATATTGTGCAAAATGATATTAGTGATAATCCGTTGACTCGTCCTATTGAAGTTAAAAAAAAAGTTGAAGAAGTAATATGGTATAGATGTTTCTTATCGGGTTGCATGGTTAGGAGTTGATAAGGCAAGAGGTGGGTTGTTTGGTGATTTTGCAACTTTTTTTGACCAACTTCGACGGTACCTTGAGACGGCTATGAGAACGAATCCGGGAAGTGTGTTTGAATTAGATGTGGATGAAAGTAGTGGGTGTTTTTGGAGGTTGTTTGTGGCATTTCATAGATGTTTGTATGGCTTTCAATTTTGTCGTCCGTTGTTGTTTGTTGATGGTACATTCTTGAAGGGGCGTTACAAGGGGCATTTGCTTGTAGCAACATCAAAGGATGGTAATCAAGGTATGTATTTATTTGCAGTTAGTATTGGTTTAGTTTGTCAGTGTGTTATTGTATTGTGAGTCTGCTAATTTTTGCAATTTCATGTGGTTTTGTTTGCAGGTTTGTTTTCTTTGGCTTTTGCAATTGTTGACGCTGAAAATCAAAATAATTGGATGTGGTTCTTAAGTCAATTGTTGAAGGCTGTTGGTTTAGGCCGGAGATTGACTTTTGTGTCGGACCGTCAACATGGATTGCTAGACGCTCTTTCAGTGGTTTTCCCCAATGCACATCATGCTTATTGCTTGAATCATTTAAAGAGAAATTTGATTGACAAATTGGTGGGACTTCGTACTAACTATAAGCTGTGTTTGATGAAAATATTAGTTAAATGTGCTTATGCGCCAACGGTTGCTTCTTTCCAACATTATATGGAGAAATTGAGGCGTATTGCTGGGAATGGTAGAGTTGATAGTATGTTGGATGGTTTGCAAAATGATAAGTGGGCCAATGCATTTTTTAGAGGGAAACGATATGGTGAGATGTCATCTAATGCTGCCGAGTCTTACAATAATTGGATTGGTGGGGCCCGTGAGTTGCCTATTACTTGTATGGTTGATATGATTAGGGTTCAAATCATGACTCAATTGTCGGATAGAAGAGCTGAATCTAGAAGATGGACTACGAAATTGTGTCCAGTTATGGAAAAGAAGTTGGTGGACTCTTTGGAGCTAGCTAAGTCTTGGGATGTGATTGTTGCTAGTGATACTGTGCTTGAGGTTCATTCTTCTATTTCTTTTTATGTTGATATTGGTAGACAGACTTGTTCTTGCCATGAATGGCAATTGAATGGTTTTCCTTGTTGTCATGCTGTGCATGCTTTGCGTAGTAGTGGTAGAGATGTGTATGGTTTCATTGATCCTTTTTTTCATGTAGATTGTTTTAGAGAGTCATACAAGGAATCTGTTTATCCAGTGCCTTCAAGTGAGAGATTTGACTTTGATAGTGTCGGTAGTTCAATTATCAAACCTCCTATAACAAAGAAGCAGCCCGGGCGGAACAAGAAGAAGAGGATACCTTCAAGGGGTGAGAATGTGAAGCAAATCAAGTGTGGGAAGTGCTTGAAATATAGGAATCACAATAAGAAGATGTGCAAGGCTGCTATTTGAGGCCACAATCTATTCTTTTGGATTTGTA